ATCCGTGCCTTCGCTGCCCTCAGCCGCCGCAGGAGCAGCAGCAGCTCAACGGATTGATCAGTCCCGAACTGCGGCACCTCCGGGCGGCCGCCTCCCTCAAGAGCAAGGTCCTGAGTGCAGTCGATGCGGCCGCAACCACGGCCACCTCCGACGGGGACCCCAGAGTGACTGCAACAAAAGGAGCTGGGGTACGCTCGGGCGAGAGACCCCCTCATTCCCTCCCAAATAATGCAAGAACTGCGCTCCCCAGCCCGGCAGAGGCAGCGAGCAATCCCGCGGCGGCCCGCAATGGACTGGCCGAGGGCACCGAGCAGGAGGAGGAGGAAGACAAGCAGGTGCGGTTGCTGTCTTCGTCCCTGACCGCCGGCTGCAGTTTAAGAAGCCCCTCGGGCAGGGAGGTTGAGCCTGGGGAGGATCGGACTATACGATATGTCCGATATGAATCCGAGCTACAAATGCCCGATATCATGAGACTGATCACCAAAGATCTGTCTGAACCCTACTCCATATATACCTATAGATATTTTATCCACAACTGGCCACAGCTGTGCTTCTTGGTAAGTGGAATGAAAAGAGGGTAAGCCCAGCAGAGATCCAGGCCGTGCTGGGCAGGGAGTGTGAGGGCCAAGAGTGTGGAAGTGGATGTATCCTGCATTTCATAGTACTTACATGATGTAAAGTGCATGTATACATTCTTAGTTATTTAATGAAACTCTTCTGAAGGTAAGACTTCATGATCCGGGTTAAGTTGATACTGATGTAAATGCAGCAAGCTGTATGATGCATGTTTCACTGGGGGTGGCGGGTGGGGGCCGCGGCCGGGGGGGTCCTGAGTCCTGTTTACATTAGGTTATAATCATGTTTAACCGTCTTTAATTAACCTCCCTCATCCACAAAGCACTTTGCAGTCATTTAATTTGAACATGGTTCTGTTCGGATGCAGGCCTTATTAATCTGTCAATTATAGCCATAATCAGGGAAGAGCGTATGCATAAACATGTTTTGGTGAACATGATTGTCAGCAAACTTGCTGTGGCCACATTGGAGAATTAAATCTTATAAGCATGTTCAGTAATTATGGAGATTGTTTCCTTTTACTTCAACAGGACAATTAACAGTTGTAGTCAGCCTGCTTTCTGGTGCTCCATTGCAGAAGGTGCTACTAACACTTCTGGTGGCTGAAAGACTCCTGAAACATGAACAAAATACCCTTTTATGGAATGTAGGATACTTAAGTGTGAAATTGTTACTAATCTGATTTTTTTTAAGAAGCTGGTCATAGATATGCCTAATCACTAGTAACACTGGCTTGCATGGAGTATAATTGAAAAAGACTTGACTATCAGTCAAGCTGAATACTTTTTTTTTAATTTACGTATTATTTCTTCACGATAATATTGACCAATTTCAGTCTGTATGAAACCTTTAGGGCCAGCCTGTTAGCTCAGTTGGTTAGAGTATGGTTCTGATAACAACAGCGTCCAGGGTTCAATCCCTGTACCAGCCAGCCGCCAAAAAAAAAAGAAACCTTTAACTTAAATATCGACTGCAGGTGTATGCTTTGTATCATGGTACTCACCAGTATATGGTTTCCATTGAATTTTACTAAAGAAAGGTGACGTGCTTTTAAGGAGTATTTTATATGTGAAGGGAAAAGCCACAGCCATTATTTATTGTTTTAGCATTGACTTAGTTGCACTTAGTAATTCCCTGCAAGACGTTTTGACAATACTTTTAAAATTTGTGTTTTTGATTCCATCTATAACTTGGTGGTAATCTGAAAATATAACCCGAATATTGTAGATAATGGCAATTCTGCTATTTTCTGTGTTAACTTTGCTTAAACTTCATTGTAGTATGTTTTTTTAAACTGTGGATGCTATTCTGTATTCTAGAAAACTGCTGTTTTAGGATTCTGAGCATTGTATATATAAAAATAGTAGTTCTAAGACATGTCTATGTCAATGAATGTGGGAAAATGATTTATAGCACCATTATAAATGTCATATCAAATGCCACTGTAATTGCTAAAAATTATAGCTTGATTTAATTATAAGTTAACCCACAAAAGTATATATTTGAGTCACATTTTGAATTGAAATAGATGTTATTCTGTCAATTCCAGAAAATAATTGTGTATATATGATATTCAGTCAGCTTTTGAGTCTGATATTACTTAGGTCTCTCTCAGCTTGTCTGCCATCTTAGACTCTGATAAACTTAATATTAGTAAACTTTAGTCTTGATTTTATGTAGACGGTTCACAATTCACTAGCTAATTTGTACTTTAGCGTTTAATAATCAGTTTGATTAACATTAAATTTTGAATATCTACAAATTGAGATGTTCACAGGTGGTTGACCTATAAGATTTATTGTTGCAAGTATCAGTCTGGAGGTATTGAACAATAAAACAGTAGTTAAAAAACAATCAGAGGCCATTTAGAACAGGGGCCTTTATGTTGTCATACTTTTGAATTTCTCATAAGAACTTTTAAAAAATACGTGTGTATGTTTATTTTAAATCCTATCATTTTAGAAATAAAAGGGATCTTAGAGATTTTTCTAGCCTAACTTCTTCTTTATCCCTTATTTTTTTTGATGAAAAATAAAGGGTCAGAGTGACTTAAAATGTTATTTAGTGCAGAAAGGTAAAGCTAGAACCCAGATCTCCTGGTCTCTCATTGTGGTAACAAGTAAGAACCTGAAAAATGACACACCCTTGACCCAGTCAGTGAAGATCATTGTGTTACCAAGTTATCTTCACCAAAAGGCAGTTGTCCTTACAAGTGTCAATCTCAAGAGATTATAAACCTCCAAAATGTTCCTGGTTTCTATAGATAACCATGGGTTAACCATGGGTCAAATGGAATATGTGGGCTTCAACCTTATTAAATTACAATACTTGATTAACAAAAACAACAGTTTCTTATGATTCTTCCTAATAATTATAACATGTAAAAATAGAGTATGATACAAATGTGAGGCACTGTCAATTACTCTCTACTTAGCTGTTTCATCTTTATCTGAGAGTTCATAGTATTTTCAGTTGTTGGTGCCTTTTTAAAGTTCTTCAAGTTAATACCAGTAATGTAATATAATATAGGATTTCCATTTATTAGTTCTAAGTTTAACTTTCAGGCTTCCTCCAGTTTTCTACATTTAGTGTTCTGGAATTTGGGTATCTCTCACACAATTTGTATTTTTCCAGTTTTATAGGTTGATAAGCCTTTGGCCTTGTAAAGTCTTAATCTTGCCAGGGATTTTTCAGTTTTCATATCTGAAAAAACAAATAGCATGAGTTCAAATGTATGTGCAGAAGCTTTTATTTGGAAGATGTGACAAGCAATTTAGTGATTCTTGTTAAGCGTATATTATCAATTTATCAGGGAAAAAAATGCAACATTGGTCTTCTTACCAACATCTTATAAGTAACAGTGTATCATATATTGGGCTTTTATTTTAGGTGATGTGTACAACTTGATTTTTGCTCCTACAGATTCTTAATTAGGAAGAAATCAACGTAGTCTAAGAATGAACTAATAACAGTATTTTGTTCTCTTATTACTTCCGTGGTCAAAGGAAAAAGATTTGTTTGAAATTACTATTCAATTTGAAAGTACTATCCAGTTGTATTTTGTTTAGTGGTTTTAATTTTTTCCTCTGTTTTGGATAGCCTTATTAACTGTAAAGTGTAGCTGTCCTATCATTTTGTATCATGGTTTATATAGATTTCCATTTCACATAAGCCTAGCTTATGAGGTCAAGTCAAAATTTTATCTGCTTTTTTTTTTTGGTCATCTGGCTGGTGTAGGGATTGAACCCTGGACCTTGGTGTTTTCTGGCTCTTTTAAATGTACCATTTGGCCTGTGATAATTTTATACATATGTGTGTGTACATATGTATGTATGTGTATACGCACATAGATGTATTTGAAGTTAATTATTTTCAAATCAGAAAATGTCAGAGTTGTTCAGTCAGGAGGCAACTTTTTTGTATATTTCAGGTCTTAATACAGAAAGAAATTTCAATTTTCAAAAGAATTTTTTAAAAAAGATTGATTTATTGTGAATGACAAAAAATGGAAATAATTTCAGAGATTTATTGACCCAAAATATTTTTGTAATGCATGATAAAACAGAAAATGAATTAGTGTGGGTTGTTGAATTTAATATCCCTTCAAAAGGATTTTTCTGACCTAGTTTAGGTTTGTGTGAAATGGATTAGAATTATCTTGCTTAAAAGATTTCTCCACAGTTTTAAAAAAAACAAAACTTCCAAGTCTCCTGACAGAGTGACAGACTAAAGTCGTAATGAATTCAAGTTAAAATATATATTACATATAAATTCAACTTTGCTTATTAATTTTTTAACCCATACCTGGTTTTTGTTGTTGAAATAGTTTCTTCCAGAAAGTCATTTTACGGAAAACAAGTATTTTGCTGACACATTATTAAATAGTTGTAGATATTTCTATTTACCCCAGTGTAGTATTAGTAGAACTTTTTATCAGTGATGGAATTTTTGAAAAAATTTTCAATGGTGGCACTAGAAATTTTAATGAAAATGGAGGATAATTAGCATTTATTTAACATATAACCTTTAACATTGGAAAGCTGTACATTTTTAAAATAGAAAGCTCTATAAAATTATATTAAAGCTTCTGTTTTAATATAAAACTCTGATTTTGAATTATAGATATTCTAAGAGCTTTATGACAATGACACACTATCAGGAGTATCTTAAAAAGAGACCGTCATATATTTATGTATATTAACCAAAACCTCTTTGGCATGATTTAAGCAATACTTTATAAACATTTCTTTCTCTGAAAATTTTTTATATATTTTTTTTCCTGATCAAGTCTAACTGCCATTCAGGTGTTAAATATCATATATTATATATCTTTCATTAAAGCTTTATTATAATTACATTTAAATTTATACATTTAAATTTATATTCTGCTGATGTTCGAGTTTTACAATATTTTATCATATCCTAATGAATAGGCTTTTTCTTTAAAATAATTTTGTTCACATATTCTCCCTTACGAAAACTTTTGTTAAGTCTTTATTGCAAATAATTGTGATTATAAGCACCTCATGTATAATCCTATGAAGGTTTTAAATGTTTACCTTCTGGAAATCTTGTCTTTTTTCCCCAGGCTTTAATGATAAGATTAAGAAATTCATTTTCTAAAGAATATTGAGAGATTTTATAACTAGAACATTTGAAGGAATTCTGGGATTTAGATTCCTGAAGCTTCTGTGATTCCTCTCTTGTTAGAGTTCTCATTATCTTTTCCCCTCTCAAAAATGCTGACGAATGGTTGGTTGCTTATTCTTCATAACTGTTTGTTTATTTTTAAGGCCATGGTAGGGGAGGAGTGTGTAGGTGCCATCGTTTGCAAGCTGGATATGCACAAAAAGATGTTCCGCAGAGGTTATATAGCCATGTTAGCCGTGGATTCCAAATACAGGAGAAATGGCATTGGTAAGAAAAATTTATTTCACTGAAAGAATGCATAAGTTATTTTCATTTTTGTGTTTTGAAACAAAAGACTTAAATATGAATATGTAGAAATGAACATAAAGCTAAGAGGAGAAAATTAAGGCAGTTTTTTATTTCAGAATAATGTTTTCAAAAGTTCTTAAAATAGTTTTCTTTATGTTTTGTTTGAGAGATTATTTTTTTCATAAGTAGCAAGTGATCAGTTTTCACCTTTTTTTTATCACATTCAAAATGATTTTCGTTATACTAAGTATTATAAGAAGTACTGCAGTTTTTAATAGGTTTATGAGGGCACTTGATCCCAGCCCTCAAGGAGCTGCCTATACTTGGGTAAGTGGACCTCAGTCAAGCCATAATTATGTTATCATTACTTAGTACTAATTAATTGCAAACATTATATTGCAATTCAGGAGGACAGAGAGAATTGTTTCTTACTCTTCCCAAATTCATCTCTCTCGGGTCTACCTTTCCTGCCATGTTCAGTGAATCTTATGCTCCTGGTTTTATAATAGTCATTAGAATCATCTAGGTGGTTTAAAAACAAATGTTGGGCCCCTCCCTCTGAGAATCTTGTTTGTCCTGTCAGAGGTAGGACTGAAGCTTCCCCAGGTGACTGTGATGTAAATAAGCCTGGTTAAGAACCACTTTTAGTGTCTAGGACCTACTGGCTCTTTGTTCACAATGATCAGGAAGACAAGCATTTGTGTGAGAATGTCAAATTCTGGGATGTATTTAAGCTAAGTAAGTAGTCATGAAAGACTATTTGATGCTTGTACCTGTATTTAATTATTAGCAGTTTTGTCACTCGTAGCTTTTTTTTAAAAAAAGTGTGTGTTATTGTCCAACTTGAGAATTTCACAGTCTTAGTTGTTGTGAGAAATCATAGGTTTACATAATACATTAGGTTTTCCTTGTAGTGTTAGATTTCCAGTAATATTTTTAGTGAATTGGGCTTGCTTTACAGACTGAGTTTGAGTCTTTGATATATTAAAAAGAGCTGATAAGGACTCATGATAAATGATAAGCAATTGTTTGGCTAGTTTGGAGGGCAGAAACCAATGGCTTTAGGGTTGTGTCTTGGTCATCACACATATTTTGCTTGGCCCATGAAATACATGCACACTGGAGTGCATGACTTGAAAATTAAGAGATTTTTAAATAAAATTTGTCTTTCTCTCCTCTTAAAATCAGACTTGGCAATTTTTTTTTTCCCTTTTTTTTTTTTTTTTTTTCCTTTTTGTCTTTTTTCGTGTCCGGCAACGGACCGCAACCCTCAGTGTCACGCCCGTACCGGACCGGCAACGGGATCGCAACCCTCGGTGCTGCGCCCGCCCCTCGCTCAGCCAGTGAGCGGGAACCGGTCTGTATGTGGGATCCGAACCCTTGGCGGGAGCGCCTCCACGCTCCCAAGCGGCGCACTGTAGCAGTGCGCCACCGGGCCGGCCCTTTTTTTTCCCTTTAATGTAGTGGGCTCACTGTATGGTTTGTAGGAACTGACCTAGTGTCTTGGGCCCACTGTGGGGCATAACAGTTCTGGTAAGACTGTTTTGTGCCCTCTGTCCAGGAGTTTAGAAGATCTTTGTCAGGATCAGCTCAGGTCATACAGTAAGTTCTAGCCAGCTCAAGGAGTTCTGGGGTTGCTGTGGTCATGTCATATCTTGCCTTTCTCTTTTTCCCTTTCCTCCTACCTTCAAAGAGAATAGAACAAACTCCTGCTTGAGGCAAATAATTACGTCTGAGAAAAAAGGACTATATCAGGAGATAGGTCTTTCAAGAGGAAATGTATTTGCTATGTGTAGGTTCTAATGGCCTCTCCCAGCTTGTTTGCAAATTTTTTCCCCTATATAATTTAAAGTAATCTGTGTATCTGCATTCAAGATAGAACATAGGACTTGACATTTCTATGCTTATTATGAATACCATAATTTAGGTATCTTTAAGAAACTAATTATATTTTTCCCTCATTAATACTCAGATCTATTTTCTAGGTACTAACTTGGTTAAGAAAGCTATATATGCCATGGTTGAAGGAGACTGTGATGAGGTAAGTCTTTCTAAATGTTTAATTCCTTTTATCCTGGGCCATATTGTACTGAATATTTTTATAAATATTCTATAGTAATTGCATTGCATTTCATTGCAAACTATTACAAAAATGCACCTTATGGGGAAAATTATATTCATTTAAAAGCACATAAATTTTGACTTAGATTGTAAGATAATGAAGTTAAAATTTCTTCAAATTGTGTCAAAATGTGAAGGTAAAATCTTAGGCGTTTTCAGTAAATAATTGGTATTCAGAGACTTTTTTATCAGGTCATTTAAGTAAGGTAGCTCTTATTATAAACCCTATTGTAATTTGCTTACATGTTGGCCTTAGTTTCTCTTTAACATCTTTTTTTTTTTAAACCATAGGAAAACTATCAGCCCATGTGGAGGACATTTCATATTTCACACTTGGAAAAATCTCTCAGCATTAAATAATGATAAGGCTCGGGGGTGGGGGAAAACAACCACTTTTTAAATGTAGAGCTATCTATATACTAACGTAGAGTATCTTCTCTATTCAGCTTGTTTGTAAGACCTGATGGCAGGTATAATGCCTTTGTATCCTACAGCACTGTGTTTTACGTATGGTAGGTGCTCAATAAATTTTGGTGATGGTTGGGAATGTTAATACTTACTATTGGAAGGGAACAAATATAAACTAGAGAAGTACAGATGTCTTTAACATAGCAATGGTGACTAAGGAGGAACAAAGTTGTAGTGAACTAGTAATTTTATGAGCAATACAAATGACAATTGTCTTTATCATTGGAGGGCAAATGTGCCTTAGAGAGTTCTCAAAATACATGAAATTAGGTAATTATTTTTCGACAGATCAACCTTAATAGTTAATTTGTTTTAGTGATTTTTTAATAAGTAGGGGGTTTTTTGGGTACAAAATTTATACATAGTCTTTAAACGTGTATGTTTGTGTGTATTTGTTTACGAAGTCCCTTCTTTCACCATCTTCATGCTCTTTAACTCTTTATCCTTCTTTCCATCTATAGCTACTGTTAACTGTTTAATATACATTCTCCTGTTTTCTAAGCACACCTATGTGCAAATGTGTAATTTTTTATACAAATGAAATCATAAATATTTTGCTATAATAATTGCTTTTTTTATTTAACAATATCTCATCGACGTGTTTCCATGTTAGAATACACCGATTTACTGCTGCAGAGTATTCTCATGTTCCTTGTTCACATTAGTCTATATTCTGACAGATCACACTAAATGGTGGTTTTATGAGAAGGTCTGCAGACATATTGGGTTGCACAGTGAAGTCATCCTGGGGTTTAAAGATACTTAATTTTACTCGAGATAGATGATTCACAGGTGGCAAAAGATCTCACATTTTTCACAGCTTTTAATATCAAATAGTAAAAGGTGCAATAAGCAAAGTCATTTACATGACTGGTAACTAAAATTATCAGTAAAGAATTGGACCTGATATGTTCATGAGTACAAGTCTGTTGGACCATGGTAACACTGGCTCAGTCAGCTCAACAAGAAAAGTCAGGCTTCACAAACATTATGTTTAATAGGAGAACTCTTTGGGATGATAGATCATGTTTTTATCTTCAACTGAGCAGAGAGTGATTTTCAGTGATCAGGGATGTTATACTCAGGGAGTGTTATGTTTTTCTATGGTTAAGATTTTTCTGAGTTACCCATTCACTATTATAGTCAATACCTGTGAGGCAAGCTGTGTGCTTTACCTTAACTGATCAAATGTTTCAGTAGTATTGGCTTTAAAAGTTCTAAAGTGTGATATGGAGATTTCGATTATTTTAGTTCCAAGGTTAAATCCTAAATTAGTGATATGATTTATGGTAGAAATATTCTTTTCATTACGGGCCTAAGAATCTAATGCTGATTCATTTTTCTTTCTTTTGAAACAGTGAATATTACTTAATCTTAGGCTGAGGTGGGGATAGCTCTGTGAACTTTTTCCTGTAGTATGATTTTAAATGGATAGTTCTTGCAGTTTGAATACCTCTGCCTCTGGATTAGTGAACTTTCACTTGGTTTAAAAAAAATTGCTTATCTGTGTCCCACATTCTTTAGATAAAGAATTTGCTGCATGAAGGGATGGAGCTCTTGTTTACTCTTTATAAGGCTTTCACTCCCCCTTTCAGTTTTAACCATACAAGCAACAAACTGTTCTGTCCCGTTTTCCCTTTTAATTTTTGATAGTAGTGTGTTTGTTGCTTCCACTTCCTTATATTACCATTTCATCCCATTTGGTTTAGTTTCTGCCCCCTCCACTTCAGTGACATTACTTTCTCAATGGTTTATTTGCTAGATCCAGTAGCTTCTTGATCGTCCTCTGCTTACTAAAATACTTCTCAGTCTTTAAGACCCAATTCAAATACCAACAACTCCTTTAAAAGCTTTCCTTGATCCTTCTGGACAGAAACAATTGCACCTTCTTCTGTGTTTTTGACTTCACTTTTTGTAACACTTACTGTACTTAAATTTACTTGTTCAGTGTCTGTGGTAATTAGTTAACTCGTCTTTCTCTTCGAATTTTCTGTAAGCTTTCTGAGAACAGCCATTGTCTTATTTTTGTTCACAGTAAGATTTTTTTAAAAAGGCATCTGCAGGGTTAACCAAGTTGTCAAAATACCTTTTGGTAAAAAAAAATTATGTGAAAATGTCTTTGTATGTAATTTATTGTTCTGAGGTAAACTTTGAAATTATTATTATTTTTTTGAAAACTTTGAGATTATAATTCTCCAAGAACACAATAACCAATTATAAAGCAATAAACATGTGATTTTTTTCTTTCATTAAGTTAGGCTAACTTTTCTTTCTTTTAAAGGGTCGAAATTTTGACTAATCAGAAAATCTATTGGAAAGACATTTGAGAAGGGTTTTAAATTACATTTTCTACTATTTAGGTTATTTGTGTTGCTATTTTTAAATTCTTACAAGGGGAGATTTTAAAATCTGTGGACCTATTTCAGAGCTAGATTTAGAAATCTCTATGAAGCCTTACTGTGCATATCCAAGCAATTTTTTACTTTCTGTTTGCAAAATGTATTTGTGACCTTGAGTCAAGTTTATATTGTTCTTGGTTGCCACTTGTCATTTTAAGTTCTGAGCAAATTAAGCCAAAACTGGTAGTCACAGAATTGAAATGTAGATCATGTTTTTGGCCAAATGATGCTGTGCCGTCCTAGTATAACTATTTTCATTTTGCCTTACTGTGGTTTTTCTCAACTTTTTATATCAGAATTAGACATAGCTAAAGATCTTTTTCTTTTTCTATACAATTGGAGCCGACTAAAAAATTCTAGCCTCAAAAAAAGAAACAAGTGGATTCCTTGCTTCGTGAATAAGAAATGCATTACCCATGTGCTGATCTGGCTTGAATTTGGTTACATCCCTTATGTGCTCTGGCTGCCAAATGTATAGTGGGTAGGACAAGTATCTTGGGTTTGTGGTTTATGTTTCACATTAGGAGAAAGAATAAGTTAAATACAAATAGCATGAATGAGTTTTCTAAAATGTAATTTTTTTTTTTTTCTTTTTGGTGGCTGGCTATTATGGGGATCCAAACCCTTGACCTTGGTTTTATAACACTATGTTCTAACTGAGGTAACCGCTGGCCCATAAAATGTAATTTTTAGAGTAAGAGCCATGTACCTAAAATAATGAACCTTTATTGTGGCTATGAACTTTTATCTACATTTTTTCTAAAATAGATTAGAATATGGGCAGGTGATTGATCAGTATGATGAGTAGTGCTTTACTTTTTAAGCTATAGATGTCCTTGAAATCTTCATCTTTGAAAATTTCAAGGTTGCTTTTTTGTTTTAAAGATTTACGGTATGATTACTGAAAACGTTGATCAGAATACAATGGAATTGGAATTTCTTTTTTTTTTTTTGTCCTTTTTGAGACCGGCCACACCATGCTCAGCCAGTGAGCACACGTGCCATGCCTATATAGGATCCGAACCCGCAGCGGGAGCGCTGCTGCGCTCCCAGCGCCGCACTCTCCCAAGTGCGCCACGGGCTCGGCCCGGAATTGGAATTTCTTTTTTTTTTTTGTCCTTTTTGAGACCGGCCACACCATGCTCAGCCAGTGAGCACACGTGCCATGCCTATATAGGATCCGAACCCGCAGCGGGAGCGCTGCTGCGCTCCCAGCGCCGCACTCTCCCAAGTGCGCCACGGGCTCGGCCCAGAATTGGAATTTCTTAATGGAATTTAAGTGTGTAGCATGTGACCTTTTTAGTTGAAAATTATGTTATCTAATTTTTGACTATTTACATTAAAAACATTTTTCCCGTTGGAAAACCACAATAATCATTACAGACAATCTATAAGTAGAAAAAGTCCACTACTTACCTTTCTGGCACATCCATTTTGGTGTTTGCTTACCATTCTTTTGTTCATGCATGTTTTGTTTATTTGTTTATTTATTTGGTGGTTGGCTGGTATGGGGATCTGAACCTTTGACCTTGGTATTTATATGTTTATTTCCAATAGGCAGTTTCTCTCTTCTATAAATGATATACTGTATGACCTGTTGCAAACTGTTTACAGTTTGCTATTCAAACCTGGATTTTCCCCACATCTAATTTGTTTAACCTAATGCTACTTATTTCTAGCAATATAAGGGTAATGCAAAAGATACTTGGTAATAGCTTAGTGTATTTTGTATGATTAAAAGAGTAAAATAGGTCATATTAGCAATAGTGACTAACCTAGACCATTAGGAAGCAAGGAGATCTAAGTCATTTTTTGGTTAAAATATATATACATATAAGGACAGAAAGGTCCAATCACTTTTTTTCCCCTAATAATGTAAAAGATGACTTTTTAGCTTTTCAGTTATTTGTATTTATTACTATGCTTACTATATGTGTTTCATAAATACATGTTTAACATTTTTAGTTTCAACGGAAACACATTTTGGCTATGTGATAGAGGCTGCTAGGTAAAGAACAGAATAAAATGGGTTTATTTAAGCTATAAAGTTTTGAGTTAGTAGTTTGGCTTAATAAAGAACTGGTGTGAAAAACCTGGGTTCCACATCCATCTTCTGTCACTTAGCAGTAGTGTGATTGTAGGCAGGTTATTTAACTTTTTCTAGTCTGTCTCTGTGTGACATGATGTTAATTCTGATCTTAAAGGGATGTTTTGAAGAGTAATAAAGTTGTACATTCAGCAAATAGTAGTGGAAGGCCTGCTTATTGCCAGATAGTATGCTAGAGCTTAGGTTCTAGCAGTGAACAAGCCTGCCATCCAGAAACTTCCAGCCTACAATAATAAAAATATGCTGTCTAAACTAATGGTTTGGCTTATCCCTGATAATGGTTTATAACTAAGAAAAATCAGTGGAACTTCACTGTAACTCTTTTTCTCTGTTAAGTAGAATTCAACTTTGTGAAGTTTCTTTAGGAGCATAATAACTTTCTTATCCTTTGGCTGCCTATGTAATACTCCCCTGATGGGGATTAAAAGAGTAGCTTTATGGTGAATTTCGAGTGTAAACCCAGATTTTTAAAAAATATCTTTATAAAAGTAGTGATTATTAAAAACTTCTTCTGGCATTTTCTGTTGTATCAAATAATGCATGATCTTTTTGTTTAGAAAATATGAGTGTGCCAAGAGAATATTTACATTTGACTAGGTTAACCATTTGTGTAACTTTTTTCTGTGTAATTGGGTTTTACTTCCATTAATCTGTTAGGATGCCAACAAATCTGAATTGAACTCTTAAACCACACCTCAAGTGTGTATTTGTGTAGCTGTAATTAGGCTCAGATGTGTTTTGAATATTTTAGATTTCTCTAAATATTAATGAAGGTGGACTTAGATCTTCTTCAGCTTGTCATAAATAGGTTAGCTCTCTCATTTGATGCTTTTTTTTTTTTTTTTTTTAACTCTGGGAAACAATCAGGGGTAGGTATAGAACAGTGGTTAATATTGAGCTCTAGTTCTTATTTGGACAGTTATTGCTGTACCGGAGGTCTTGAGTTTCATTTATCTGTAAAATGGAGAGATAACCATATCTATTTCATAAGGTTATTATAAAAAATGAAATAATGCATACTTTACATTGTACTTGGTACATCTTCAATAAATATTAGCTATTTTTTGAAATTGTCTCTCTCCTTATTTCTGTGAAATCAATCTCAAGTTTTGAGTTGTTGACAGCTTTAGTGTATCTTACATTAAATTGCTTTGATTTAACATTTTAGTTTTAATTAGGTACTGAACAAATAACAGAATTTCAGGACTTACCCAAGAGAATTGTTAAGAAGTGAAAATTTCTATTGACCAGATTGGAGTGTTCCAGACTGTAGGATGGCATACATTACTAAAAATTGAATTGTGCTTTTTTAAGAGCAGGGAGAAATTATTGACTTTAAATTCTTAAACCAATTTGTTGGCTATACAACTTTTATTTAAGGTCTTTTGATTCTATCTTGAACATTTTCACTTGATCCTGAATTATCAATTACTTGATTTTTAGATCTTTTAAAGGTTTGGGTTTAGCATGCGATTTGCTTTGATGAGTTAATTGCATAGGTAATTGCCTTAAGATGATGTTTTCCCTTTAAGTACGCTGGTTGTTTTAATACATGACAGTATTTTAATATTTTTGTAAAGTATGTAATATAACGAAAGGAGCTAAGGACACATTAATAAATATTTAAGAGCCTGCTGCGTGTCAGGCAGTGTGTCAGGTGCAGAGGAAACATCTGTGAAGGAGGTACGCATTGGTCCCTGCCCTCATTGGGCTCACCACCTAGGAGAGATGACATACTCATCAAGCATTGAATAAGGGTGTTTGATAGGAGCAGTGCCTAGTGCTATGGGGTTCTATAAAAGGAAAGAGTTATTATACTCAATCTAGAAGTGACAAGCCAACGCTAAAAGCAAGGATAGGAAGAGCATTCTTCCAGATAGAAAACAGTTCATGTGAATGGTCTGAGGTGGGAAAGATCAGGGAAATTGAAAGTTTAGTGTTGAGCATGGAGAACAAGAGGAGAGACACCTAAAGCAAAGTTGGAGATATAGGTACAGGTCATATCTTGATGGGCCTCTTAGGTTTCTTTAGATAATTTTTTAGATTGTGGATTTTTTTTTCTTTTTTTTTTTTCCTTTTTGTCTTTTTTCGTGTCCGGCAACGGATTGCAACCCTCAGTGTTGCGCCCGTACCGGACCGGGACCGGCAACGGGATCGCAACCCTCGGTGTTGCGCCCGCACCTCGCTCAGCCAGTGAGCGGGAACCGGTCTGTATGTGGGA